TCAAGGGAGGAGAAATAAATCGGGAGATATTTCTTCCACAACTGCAAACTGAGAAAAATGTCCTCTTAGTCTTCAGAGTACCTCTGATAAATAACAATAACCATGATTTTTTAAAATAAGATTTTTATTGGTAGTTTTTTAAAAACAAAATTAGCTATCTAATATTTAAACAATATCTTGTCACCAGAAGGTGACAAGACTGCCTGCCTTGCCTCAAAATGACCTGGTGCTGTTCCATAAACTGAGAAAAAGAAACATTCTTCAGTCAGGAATCACATAGAAGTGTTTCAAGGGGCTTTAAGGTAGCATATTTATTTTTAAGGGGCAATATGCAAGAGGATGAGAAGTCACTTGTAGATGGAACTGAAACTAAATAAAATTGGCAAAAAGAAAAATATTGCCAAAACCTAATTTGTTTATTCCTTCTATAAGTTTGCATTTCCACTTCCACTATAATCTGGGGGAAGCTCATAAAACGAATGGAGCTGATTTTCATATATAAAATTATTCAATGTAAAAAATTGAGAAGTTTTATACAGTTTTTAGAACCTCTGAACTTGCCAATTAAAAACATTTCAAAGTATATTCCCACCAGAGTTCCGACTTCTGCTTCCTTTCTTAGGGATTGATGTATTAAATATTTATAGCTGGGAATAAAATCTGCATAATTCCAAAGTCAACAGGATACGGCATGACTGGCAAGAACTTCAATGTTTTCATATTATTGCTAATGATTTATTTGACAGCCAAGAAAATCAAGGCTTAGCTTTGAAAGTCATATAACAACATTACTCATACCCAACATGTCCTATTTTCTGAAAATAAAATGATGCAAGTACCTGCTTTCAGCATACACTCATTTCATAAACATGTTGTGATGAGTGTGTATTTTAATGAACCAGACAATCTGAATACACTTCACTTAGTAGCATTTAAGCTTGGGTCTGTGTGGCCTATTCCAGAAAGTTCTTACAGAAAACAGCTGAAAGAAAACAGTACAGCTGGACCTTGGTATCTGAGGGGGATCCATTCCAGATCCACCCCGTGGATAAAAATAAATACGGGACTTTAAGTTCCATTGTTCCTAATGGTGGCATGACATGCATGCGCTGCCACTGAGGACAATAGGGCTTGCAATCCGTGGATCCTTATATTTGTGGATGGCAAGCCCATAGATAAGGAGGCACCACTATATACTGCAGCAGCAGTTATGGACTGAAAGGGAAACACATAGACTTTTGACTATGATCCATTAAAAGTACCCAGGCCTATGGTGGATTGAGGTAACTCTCCTGACAAATGACAGTGTGAGGCATTGTCAGATAGTGAAACAGACTTGCCAAGGTAAAATTGTCATGATGAGTGTCTTTTCAGTTTCATCTTCACTTCCATTATGCTTGAAAAAGAACTTTTATTTCCTCAACTGCGTCACCATGACATTTTGTCTATTTCCACCCAAGGCTTTCACACTTATAAGCAGTGTTGAGCCAAGGCATATTGCTGCCTGAGAAGGTCTAAGATGGTGTTCCCCACCACCTATGCCATTTCCATATATAGAAGCTAATGGGACTAGCAGCTGAATTTTACTTCACAACTGGGTAAAGGACAGCATCCTCCACTGTATGTTAAGGCACTTAGCTATCTTAGGGGTCACACAGAGCAGGTTACATGGCATACAGAACTCTGTCAAACAGAAGGGGATGGCCGAAGAGGCTCAAGAAGAACAGGTATGGGGAAGAGCCATTACTTCCTGTTGTCTCCACACATACCAGCATCTGAAGCTGTTTCATGCTGCCTAATACCATGGGTGCCATTGTTTAGAACAAAGTATGCAGAATTTCCTAAAGGCTGGCTTTCTAGCTCCTGACCAATCTGAGTTGATTCATCGGTCACAAGCTGACATGCTCCTGATCCTTGCAGGGTCAGATGTGCCATTCCTTAAGTCTGTGTGAGCAACTCAAGGAACCTCTCCTTCAATCAGGCTAATTTTTGACAATCTCCCTCTGTGTGCTCTCTGTTGAGTTCTTTCCATGCAACCCATAACAGCCTGCACGAGTGAAAGTCGTATCTTACACATAGTCACAAGGACTAAGGCATGGGTGAAGAACCTCTTTCACTTGGGCAATGGGCACAAATACAAAAGGATGGAAACAAAAATAATATACTCTTTACTGCCAACAATTAATTATGCCTTACAAAAGACATTTCAATGTGACAGAATGGGGGAAAATCTATTCCAACTCTGGAAACCATTAAAAATGTTAAGGGGAAGGACTTGTGGCCATCTAGGGAATATCAGAATGCCAGATTAAGATACCACCAGAAATGGAACTGAGCCTTAATACCTAAGGTTCCTCACCATTAGGCTTGGCATTAAGGCACAAACATTGGACCAGTTGTTCCCTGAAAGTTTGGGTTCTTGTTCTCGTACTCAAGAGCACTAGAAAGAATGTCAGTATTCAAAAGCAGATATTGGAAAATATATTTTTTAGAATATAACTCCCAGAATCCCCCCACCAGCAGGATATGGGTTTCTGGAAGTTGTAGCCAGAGAAATTAACTCTGCCCAGCTACAACTGAGTAATTGTGATTCTAATTAATTTCTCATAGCTATTTTTACTTTCAGTGATGGAGGCACAGACAGGCAGAACTGAGAAGAAATTATTTACCTAATGTTGCCAATTGTTTGAAATGCAGGCAAGCATTGGGCTGACCCAAGAGATCCAGTCGATGATAAAGAAGCTTGCTGCTGGGTACTGTGTTGAGGTTTTTAAGTTGTCTAACAGGTATTTCTGGCTGTATCACAACAATACACAATATGAAAGAAGTATCTTGAACCTAAACAAAGATCAAATACAGGTTGATAAGGAAAGCATTCTTACTACAACAAAAAAGGACATTTGAAGTTGTCTATACGCTCAGCAATTAAAAACTATTTCCGGATTTCTGTTTCAAAACAATACTGGGATATTTCCTAAAGACCTATTTTCTCCAGTCCTTCTACTACTCTATAATGTCTATATACCCTGAAGACTCTACAGATTCATACCAAGAAGTGATGGCTGTACTAATGATTTTTATAAAGAGAAACCAGTCAGCCTGATAATGAACTTTGCCTATCCAATGGAAGAACTGCTGTCCAATTCATTTTTATTATTAAGGTATATATTCTATATAATTTTGTACTGATTCCCCTTAGATGCATACCTGTGGAGATATGCAAGATAAATTATTTAACTTAGTTACTCATTTCTTTTTTTTTAAAAAAAATAAAACACAGTAGCTATACCCAAGCAGTTGTATAAGATGGAGCAGCAATACCCAAGCAGTTGTGGTGGCAATGCAAAAAAGGGAAAGTGTGATACCTTCAATGGATGTAATTACAACATATAAAAAACAGACAGTCCAAGAGGGGGCATGGGTTGAAGAGGGGATGTAGGGGGAGTCTGTATGATTGTGCTTTGCCAGTGTTTTACTGGGTACATCAATGCTCCAATGCTCTGTACTGGTAGAGGATCTCAGGTGTGACTGTGTGGCTGATCAAAGGGGTGACCATCCAATGGGATGGCATCTGCCAGCAGTGTGTGAACATGGTGTGAACATGGTGGGGGGACAACAACAACAAAATTACCCAGTGACGCAACTTGACACTGCATTGTGCTGTTGGGCCGTGTGCATTTGGGCCACCTTGGGAGCAGCCCGTGTGGTCAGTGGGGTTTCAAACTGCTTTTGGAAAAAGCAAGTTCAAGCTGTTTTTTCCTGCCCATCTGTTCTGCCTCTCACTCATTAGATATGTAACCCAGATACAGTTAACTGAACTGGCATTTTCATATATGGATATGAAACAGTGATACAGAGATGCTCACCTGCCACTGCACAAAATTAAATGCAATAATCTAGTAAATGTAGATAAACAGAGCAAATGTTTATCCCATGTGATCAAATATTTTAAATCCTTGAATGCATGAATTTATTTTCTTCAAAATATATCTAGGTGGAAGGTTCTCATGATACTGTTTCCCATGGAAGTAATTCCCAAAGCTAAAGGCTACATGTAAGAAGAATCTGCCCACATGTGGACTCCCAAATCATGCCACACATGGATTTAGCATTCCAATAAGTGAGAGTCAACTGAAACATTCAGAAAATATTATGGTACAGCCCTGTAAAACAACTATGGTGCCTCTCATGACAAGTTTTTGCTGATTTCTGAGACCTAGAAAGAAATCTCACTCATAAACATTCAGATATATAATGTCTTTGGATGTTATTATCTACACAGCCCTTAACAATTTACCAAGGGTAACATCAATACCATATGGCTTTCAGGCCATGCAGATTTCCCAGTTCTCAGAAATAACTCCTATTTTAATTAAAATTATAATTTTAATTTAAATAAATAAATATATTAGCATACCTTAAATGAATTTTATCACTTACCATTTTCCAGGCATAACTCACATTGTAGGCATCTTTCCCAATTTCACGCAGTTTGTTTACATGCCAAGACAGTGAGGAGTTCACAGGGACTGTAATAAGCTGACTGCCTAGAGGGAGGCTAAGTTGGCAACAAACAATATCCACCAGTTATTAAACAGGAAAGAAACTCCATGCTTGTGTTTACTTTAAACTTAGATTATTTAAGTTAGGGCTATATGGAATTTGTTCTTAATTAAAAATAGAAGTGGACTGCTTTTCTATATCATATTATGTTGTTACTGTTGTGTGCCTTCAAGTTGTTTCTGGACCCTAAGGCAAACCTATCATGAGGTTTTCTTGGCAAGATTTACTCAAAGCCAAATGCTGAACTGTGGCCTCTATGCACAATCAGGAAAACTGGTTCCAGATGATACATTTTCATGATCATATCCCTAGTGGACCAAATGCACTGGTTGTATTTGGCAGCAGAGATAGTACTGGCTACCTGTGTGTCATCAGAGAAAATTACCATGGAATGCCTTCCAGATCAGATAAAAAGCAATGCAGCACTCACCCTGAGAGACAATGTGGCGTACTGGTTTGAGTGCTAGACTACAATTCAGGAGACCAGGGTTCAGTTCCCCGCTCAGTCATGAAATTCACTGTATATAAAGTCACATGTTCTCAGCCTCAGAGGAAGGCAATGGCAAACCTCTTCTGAAGTCTTGCCAAGAAAACAACAACAACAACAACAACAACACCCAGTGGCACAGAGTTATACACTTCCTAAATGCTGGATGCACTTACTACTAAAGGATCTAAGGCAACCCTGTAAATGAAACAAAACAACAAAACAAAGTGGTCTGCAAACATTATTAGCCCATACTGGGAAGTAGTGCAGGATGGACAAAGAATTATGTTCTTTTTATAATAGCACCTTATGCATTTCTATACTTGTTTTCAGAGGAGAGGTTTTCCTCTAGTAGACATTAGCTGAACACAGAGGATGGACAGAGTGTTTCTTTTGCCCACTGCCAATTCACATGTATTCAGTGTAATTTCTGCCCACCAATGGCTCCCAAAAGGATCTTGAAAGCTGAGCAGGGTCAGCCCTGGTTAGCACTTGGATGAGAGACCCCAATGAATACCAAGTGCTGTGGGCTATATTTCAGAAAAAAGAACTGGCAAAACCACCCCTGAGTATTCCTTGCCAAAGAAAACCCTATTGAAATTCATGTGGTCACCTTAAGTTGACAGGTGACTGGAAGGCACATGCACGCATGGCTCATAGGGTAATGCTTAACTATGAGGCTGATCTAGAGAGGCTGTGCTTCAATGTAAACTTTCTGAGTTAAAAAATTAATTTGGGGTTTTATTTCTACTGCCCAGACTTTACAAACATGCCAGGAGAGGTATTTCTGGCAGCAGACTGCATAGGCCCAGAGCGGAAGAGTGGGAGGTACTCTGTAAGCTATTTAGGTTCCTAGGTCATCTGTGCTGCTAAAGTTCAAAACCAGCATCCATAATTGGGTCCAGAAACTATGAATTCAGTACAGAACTGATATATAGGTTCTTGTCTGTATACACTAGAGGTAATCGCTAATAGGTAAGGGACTATGGGAACTCCAGTCAGAAAACATCTGGAGGGACACAATTCAGCTCCCCTGGTCTACACAATACAAAAAGGCAGGTTGTAGCATTCAGAACTATATAATTTTTATTCCATCTTATTCAAAGGCAACATTTACAGTGCTTCATGCATGGTACATTAGAATATGAACTGTCAGGACTAGGGAAGGACGAATAAGGCACTGGGATTGTTTTATTCTTATCTGAAAACTGCATCTATCAATAATTTAGATTGATTTTTCCCTAAAATATAATTTAGCCTCTATAGGTATGGCTTAAAACCTGAGGGTTTTTTTGCTCTGATTTACTGCTTTTTAAAAATGAACAAGTTGTTCATGCACAGAACTGCATGCCCCACTTCTCTTTTCCATTGGAACATGATTTTTTTTCTGTGACCCTAGGCAACCTATAGTCTTCCAACTGTAAATGTAAGCTAAAAAAGCTTTCCTACCTCATACAGGTGGCATAAAGATTAAGGCTTACTAAAATACTTTGAAGATGTAAATTATTAATTATTTAACAGAGGGATTTGCATTGTGAACAGTAAAATATGAGCTGAAAAAACAATACACCAAAGAAGATGTACACTAAAATAACTTGGTGGGCAGAGATTAAAAGTTAATTGTTAATTGCACCCACAAAGACACATAAATAGCAATAATACAGAGCAACTGAAAATCTGATATAATTAGCATTGTGACACAGTTATACAGCCTAATGCTGGCTGTTTCTTTCTGTACCCTATCTTATCCTATTAGAGATAGATTTTGAGCAATTTTTCCAGGATCTCTCTCTATTCTCTTTGTAAATCTCTATATAAAACTAAGAAGTTGTGAAGAAATAAGACTTCTGTATGGTCTTGATGTAATGATCGTCAAGAGTTTTCATGAGTAAATTCAATAGCCTTTCATCATGTCTTTTATAGTGAAATCTGTGTTTCTTCTCTTTGCATCTCAGCATTAGAGAGAGTTTCAAATGGGACAATGTTCAGGAAAAGAGTTTGTAAAAAATTATAACTGGCATAATAGGGCCAGAAATGATTTCTGAGTTGAGATTTCAAGACAGAAATAGGCACAAAACAGCTTTGTTAAAATAACAATGCATAGGGCGGAAGTGATAAAAACTATCTATAAGCATTGGTAGAAGAAAGGGGGTTGTCTCACAATACATTTACTTAGGAATAATAGATTTTTAAAAAATATAAAATGGAATCTAGAATGAGTATCTGATTATTTGGTATTCTATGCTATGACAGACATGTATCCAACAAGGTATTTAGCTTCCTTACATCTAGCATCTGAGAAGAACGTAAAAGACGTAACACAAGATATTTTTTTGCTGAAATCCCACTGAAATGTACCAGAACCAAGTAAGACCACATCTATATTCCCAAACCCCACTAATTTCAACAGTGTTTTTACAAAGAGAGAATGAATTGTGCTCCTAATTGAAATGATGGTTACTGCAATAACTATACTTGGCCTAATTCAAAGTCATATTTTTTATTGGGTATCACAGGGAATTTGCTTTTTTACAACTGTAGCTGCTGTGTAGCAATCAGTAAGGATCAACATAATTTCCATTGGGGACTATGCACACAGTCACCTTTGTATTAAGTATCGGCAAGTCTTACCTAAGGATGTTCTGGCGAACCAGTTCAAATTTTGGAACATTCTCATAATGGATTATATCTGTGTGAAGTGGTGGTTCAGAAAGCAAGTAGGGTCTGGTAAGGGAAGGATGCATAAGAGTGTATCCTAAAATTTAAAAAGGATATGTTGTTCATCATATTTTCAACATATACGAAGGATATTTTTAAAAATATATTATTAAAATGCCATGGATTTACAATGGATTTATAAAATTTCCACATAACAGTAACCGAACCACTCAAGTTCATACAAAAATACACAGTGACAATCAGTAATTATTTAAGGGTCAAATGAAAGTAATACAAGGTAGGAATGATGCATCCCTCCAGATGTTTTAGGACTGCAACTCCTAGCATTCCCCATCATTTGCTATGCTAGGTAGGAGTTCTGGGATTGTACTCCAACATCTTCTGGAGGGCTGCACAATTCTCAACCCTAAAATAAGATAATGTGAACAAAAAGTAATATTATTTTCAAATACTACAAATTTTATTATTAGCCTCTGAAATAGGAAGCATATTAACTGTGTTGAAAGTACCTTTATTATCTATTAGAAATGTGTAGGAAGCCAAAGAATCTTGGTAATAAGTAACATCTTCCAATATATAAGCCAGGTTAACATCTACACCTACGATTCCCAATAGCAGGTTTCCAAAATAACAAGGCTTGCTTACAGTCATTATGAGACCTGTGAACAAAAATAAAAAGCACACAGACAATTAGCAAAAGAAAAATCTACAGCATCATGTATGGATATGGAAAAGGAATCTTAATTCTATCTTTAACTCTTACACCTAATCCTAACAGTGTTTACTGGGAAATCCAAATTATTCAATGGGTCTTACTTCCCAACTACATTTAGGATTATAGCCCTAATGCCCCTGTGCGCCCCCCCCATATGGCATTCAACACAATCTAACATGGCTAATTGTAGGGTGGAATGGAAGAGGCACACCAAAATATTTTGGAAGGCTGAATTAAAGATGTCTGCTATCTTACAATAGAATATTACTTCTTGTATTAAAAAACAATTTACCTTTTTAAAAAACAAACAAACCTACTGCCCAATTAACTGAGGGCACATTTTTAAAAGATTTAAATGGTTTTTCACTCAAACTAACCAGTTAACCAACAGTGCAATCATATATGTGTCTACTCAGAAGTAAACCACAATTACTTATGTTGGAGACAGAGAGATATTCCTAAGGACATGTGTACAGAATTTCAATCAAAATGCTGCAGTGTTTTTTTAAAAAGGTATTTTAGCCACATCATCAGCAATATTAGTGTAACCTATGAATTAATTTGGCTGGGGGGGGGAGGTCTATATTGGAAATTACAATTGAGAGGCAAAAAATAAAGAGAAAAAGGGTGAGCCACATCTACCAGTCTATGCTGCTAAAATCCATTCTGAAAACTCACAATTATATGTATTATTAAAATCACATAAAATCAAGGTTTTTGTTTCTAAACAGTAGGGAAACAATATTTCTACCCAACAGACCTGGATCAAAGACTTAAAAAATTGGTGTGATTAGTTTTTATGCTAATGTCAGGAACCATGTCCACTGAATTCAAATGAAAGCTGGATACAACCAAGGTGAAGCATTCATTTTTCAAAAAGAGAAAAAGAAAAAATGCAAATGCACATTTAGTTCCTTTGAATAGTCTCATGAAATTATGCAGGTTTAGTGAACTATCCCTTCCTTTGCCCTCTAGCAGGGAGACTGATGATACAGATTCTGAAATGCCGATAGCAGTGACCCCCAAAAATAAATAGCAATAAGCTCAAAGAATGACTAGGGGATATCAAAAGAGCTTAGCAAGAAAGAGGAAATAATTGTATGTAATTATATCTATGCATTTATATCCCGCCTTTCCTCTGGGGAGATCAAGGCAGAGCACACATATATGGGTTTCCAGACTGTCTCCCAGCCAGGCATGACAACACCCAGACCCGCTTAACTATTAACAAAATTGCTGCATCACGTCTCCCCTCTTTAGAAAATTAGTTCTTCCCTTACATTGCTCTTGGCAGACTAAATCCCAGTATAGCAATTGATCAGGGAACTCTGAAACAGAACCACATAATTATTTTGGAAGATCCTAGTGTCTGGGGTAATAATACTATATATCAATCTGATTTCTTCCTTACCTTACACAGCACTGCAGTTTTTAGACTTCCCAGGACAAGAGACTACAGGAATGGTTTGCAAAATATTTTGCCTTCACTCCTTTTTAAAACTGGAAAAGAACCCCTCATTTAGATAACCCTGGCTTTCTTCTTCCTATTACTTTAATTCTTCATACCTTCAATAGCCCTTGGAAATGAAGCAAACCTGCTGCTACATTATAATTATTCTTTGGGGCCT